GGAAATCTTTTCTGTTGGAACACTAATAGGTATGATAAGCTTTTAAAGCAAGGAAATGCAAATACTGTGCTAAAGATACAGAAGTGGCATGGTCTTAGGGATACAGCAATATGAGGACTTGTGAGTGATACAGAATTCTTGGCTTTTAATTTGAATTCAATCTGTTGGGCTAGATCTATCCAACAACCATTTAATTAATGAGGATTTTCCAGACTTCAAATTAAATAAACTAGTTTGTTAGGTTGCTTGAGTGCCAGAGATATCCAAGACGTGGTTCTTATTGTCTGAAAAATTCACCTACACTGTAAAAGAGCACAGTGTATCACAATAAATAACTATTAGAAAAAACAATGGCAGTTACAACCGTGCTGGATTTGGGCATCAAAAGACTGCTGTGCCTGTCATTGACCTGACCTGTGACCATGGACTCTTCTGGGCATATATTTCCTCATGAAAAAGAAGGGAGCGAGCTAAATCACTATTTCCTAAACTGGACTACAAGAGACTCCCTTGGTAAGAAGGGGAGGCTGCCTCCTCCCAGGAGTCTGACTTAGGAGGTATGAGTGTGACCTCGAAATCTATATTGTAAACAATCATTCTAGGGGACTTTACTGCAGTAGGACTATGTCCTAGAAGAACAACTGTGGAATTATGTAATCATTAATGTCCCTTTATGCCTTTTAGCTCATTCTTTTATGATTTTAAAGACTACATGAACTCAATGTGTAGCAAGGAAGCAGGCCAGCATGAAGGGTGGAGAGCTGGAGATAAAAGGGATTGTGTTCCTTTCCCAGAGTGGCAGAACAAGGAACAAAGAGCTGTGTGCCTTCAAACTACCACAATTTATTGTCACGCAGTTCTGAAAGTGTGACACTGAGGTCTTAGTTGGCCTGCGTTTTGTCTGACAAGTATCAGAGACAGCTCTTTCTTGCTCTTGTAACCTCTGGTGCTTATGGGAAGCTCTTGGCATCCCTAGCTTATGATCTTAGCGGCACCTCTCTCTCTTCACATGGTCATCTTCTTCCTTGTCATGTTCTTTTCTGTGAGTCACCAGTCAATTGGATTAAAGCCCACCCCAACACCTAACACCGCATATCAGCTTGGCTATTTTGTAAAGTCTATTTTCCTAAATATGTCCACATTCTGAGGTACTGATGGCTAGGTCTTAAACATATTTTTGAGAAGAACAGAATTCCTCTCAAATTAGGGAATTTTCACAGGCGACTTAGAATTTAAAATATAAATGCTGTTTACTTACATAGACAGAAAGAAAACAGCTTTGTAGATGACAAAATCAACCTGTGAAGAATGGAATCATCATGTTTTTCCAAGATGAAACATAGTGCAGCTTGAGATACTGTCAGTGGTTGTGAAAATGATGATTATGGTGATTAACATTCACTGAGCATTTATCCTGTACCTCCTATGTCCTAGTACATTCCATGTATCGTACTTCCAAGCAACACGTGAAGTACACAATATTATTCAGAGTCATGCAGATTAAGAAATGGGGGTGCAGTTATGTAACTTGTCTCATTATGAAACTAGAAGGCAAAGAATTGTATGATCCCAAATTTTTGCTCTTTACAATGATAATCCATTGCCTTCCTCACAGTACTAAGGCAGCATGAGCTTGGGTGAGGGAATTGGTGATCCTTGCTGAGGACTTTAACAATAAGGCAGTGAGATGTTACAGAAAAAAGGGAGGAACTTTCAGTGTCTGAGAAGTGTGACATGAGGAAGGTGATATTTTAAGAAGATGAATGTCCTTTCTACCCAAGGATGCATTTTCTTTAGAAAAGGAGAAATCAGTTATAAATAAAAATCTATTGACCGTGAAGAGCTTCTTTTCATTGGGCTCTGTCAGGTGGTCTGCCTCTTTCCCACTGGTGAATCTTAAGAATCCTTTAGCACTTAAAAAGTGTACTCCATTGAACTGTTCTATTTCCCCCCTCTGACATTCTTTTTAAGTTCTTCATATGAGTGATAAAGCATTGATCAATTCATATCCAGAGTACAAATGCTGTTAGATGAAGACTTTTCTTGATTCTTTAACTTTAAAAATTCACATTTCCATTTTAGTGGTTTTTGTTTGTTTTAAGCAATACCTATAGGAGCCTGATCTCTGGTCATTTAAAGTTTAGCTTTCTATGTGTACAGTGATCATCTTTCTTTCTGGTTTTGCCATATAGAGAAAAATGTGTACCAAAGGAAAGGCAAAAATAATGACAAAGCTGAAATGTATAAAGCACTTTGATATATACAAATAGTTCTTCATATGTCTCCCAATTTAATCAGAAAGTGTAGGTGTAATAACTGGTGAGCAATGGCAGTATTGTGGTTTCTCTGTAATTTTACACTTGGTCTGGGGAACATACTGTCTCATTGGATTCTCCAGGATGACTTGACTGAATATTCCCCCTTCCCAAGAATAGAAAGCTGGATAAGTAGAGACTTTATGCCTCTCCCAAATCTTAAGCCATCCAATTTCCTTTCTTAAAGAATATCACCTAGTAGGAGTAAATGAAATTACACACCTATTCATACACTCATTTCCCTGCCAACACATGATGAGTTTTTGATTTTGATTACTCTAACATTTGTGTACTTGAATTTTGGCCTATGATTGTAATGCTCCAAAAATTTTCCTTCTTCCTTTGGATGTCTACAAGAGCAAGCTGATCAAACATTAGTCTCTGTAAATCTCAATGTGGCCATACAAGAGCACATTTGGATGGTAGAATTAAAAACAATGCATAGACCTGAGTTGGAGAGCAGAGTGGGAGACCAGGAGGACCCTGTCTTTTTGCTTCTCTGATTTGGTGGTGTACTACACGGCCCCCTGGAGACCTGAGGTCCATCATTACTGCCACAACACTGGAGCACAATCCAGAACAGCGATCCAGAGCTAATTTATTTCCTAATGTTGCAGCACTGTTAATTTATAAATTACACTGGTTATTCGAGCGATTATTAATTTCAGATGGTGTAGGGCAAGCCTAATTAAAATATGACACCAATTGCCACACATATGTACCAAGGACTACCATTTAAAATTAATGGGAATATTAAGTGTGACACTGGTCCCTGAGATGTGTTGCACAATAATTACAGCATTCCAGCACAGAAAGATCTGACAAATGTAGGCCTGTGGTTGGTAGCAAATAAATAATGACAATATAAGAGCAACCACAAATTCTTTACTTACAACTCTTCTTATTGCCTCCACCATTCCTCAAATAAGGGTTATGTTTTTCTCTCCATGAAGCAATGCATGGAACAATAATAATATTGGCTACTAAGACAATTAGAAGGTCCTTACAGGTTGGAACTATGAGTCTGTGTTGGTTCATATTGATGATCTTCTCCATATGCTGGGTTTTTAAGACCTTGTTTTCTAGTTATGAACTTTCTCCTGCTGGTTTTTGTTTTGTTTTGTTTTTGTACAAATGTAACATCTCTTTCTTGCTTATTATAATAGTTATATGCTGTTCTCTTTCCCATTTCTGTAGACTGTTTTCACAGGTGTCGAGTGTAGGTCCCATATGGTGTGAGGAAATGCTTGAGTTAAGGTTACTGTTGGTTGGTGGCACAAACTTACCATGACCAAGGACTGGCAGCAGGGTTGGACAAGTAGTGGACCTTCTTGACAAGAGTCTTGTTTTATTGATGTTGCTAGTATTGTTGTTACTGTTTTCAAAAATGATGATCTTAGCACTGTTGTAGAACAAATACAATCATAACACACTATGTTTATCATTTATTGTGTTATATTAATTTTTATAGTCATCAGGTTCATCCTCTGGGGCAGCTAATCACATGGCATTGTGAAGAGGTTTTAAGATTAGGGGAGAAATGTCCCTTTGATCCTTTTTTGGGATTATTCATGTGAATGTAGCTCCATTCCATATGAATCTAGGCCTCCAGGGAGAATATAGGATTAATACTTACATCAACAAGTATGCAGCACATGAGAATTTTTACATTCCTTTTCTAGGGGTATGTGTGCATGCACACTGATGGATAATTTATAGCTTGAAATAAATGTGACATATTAGCATTGTAATGCATATTAAACCTAAGAAAGTATTTCTCTACTACTAGGGACAGTCTTAAATCAAGCTTGTTGGTCCAATAATAAACAGCAATACTCTCTTTTTACTTTCAAAAGTATCCTTTGTTTAAGATGCTGTCGTTTTAATTATCTTCATTTAACAAAAAGGAAGATAGTTCCAGAACATGTGCATTACCTGTTCTGATAATCATTTTCTATGATCAAGGAAGCTAAGGTTCAGGGTGGCTCTGGAACAGAACATTGACATCTGTCTTCTAGACTTCAGTGTCTTGTTCTTTCCAGAACTGAATAATCATGGCTGTATGTGAGGTGTGAAGTCTGGTCAGTAGAGGGTCTCCTTAGTGACTATAATTTTTTCACTAGAGAAATTGAGTCTTTGGATGATTGAGTGACAGCAAGATTTGCAGCCAGAAATTTGGAAAACTGATTTCTGCCTATGTGATTAATCCAAAAACAGTTAAATCTATTACACTGCCTTTATGGAGAGAGAGAAAGCTGCATTGATTCATGCCCAGCAAGGCAGCAGAAGCTCTATATTCAAAGCTCCACCCAAATAAAACCTTGAGATCAGTAAGAATTAAAGTGCCTGACTCAGATCCTAGAGCTGGGTGGCCTGCTAAGATCCAGGCAGTATTAACTGTCAAAATTACTGATCACTTATTGAGAACCAGTTACTTCTCTCTGCACTGCACTTAGTTCAGCTGGGAGCACAAATGTTTCAGCTGGTCCACTAGGACCCAAGGAAAAGCTGGTGGACAGATGGGTAGGAGAGATGTGGACAGAGAGTCCCATAGTTTCTAAGAACCTGTGCTTACAAGTGACACAATTCTCTGCAGCTGTAACCATTTTATACTTGGCTTTGCAAATTTATACCTTTGTCCTTCCTTCCCTCCTATCTCACAACGCCCTACTTCTTCTCCTGCAGCTGTTGGCTTTGTGAGTGAAGATGAGTACTTGGAAATCCAGGGCATCACCCGGGAGCAGTCAGGGGACTATGAGTGCAGTGCCTCAAACGATGTGGCTGCACCTGTGGTGAGGAGAGTGAAGGTCACCGTGAATTGTAAGTGGTCTCACCAACCCCTGTCCCCATGTACAGGAGACTGCCTGATGCTGTGGCCACAAGAGCTATCTGTGAACTCAGGATGGGGAGTAATGCAGCAGCCTCTTCTATGTTCTGCTCCAGGACCAACAAGTCAAAAGTCGAGTTTATGACAATCACATTGATTTAAAAAGTAGGCTGAAAATAATTTACTATAATGCCAATTGACAGACTATGGCTGGAAGATGATCAAATGAGGTTCACTTCATATTTTACATAAATACATTGTCAAATCTGGAGTTTCCCCATAATTGACTCAGATGATGCAGTGGCAGCCTCCTTTTCCCCAGACCACATGTCTCCATACTGGGACCAGCATCATGTGTTAGAATGGATGAAGAAAATATGCATGCCTATAAAGAGTATGGTGTGTCATCCTTGCATAATTATAAATGTTGACTGATATACATGGAATTCATATAGAATTTAAATTCACACACACACACACACACATATATATAGACACATACAGATATTAGAGGCTGTATCTCAAAATTCATCTTGTCTAATAGAGGTACAGAATCCAAAATTGGGAGGTCACTGGTGTGAATCTCTCATTCTCCTTTTTCAGCCTTCCAATTTCTCACTTACCTTGATCATAGGCTGATCTCTAACCTATCTTTCACGCTTTCTCCTCTGGTTTCCTTGCTATGTTCATCAACTCAGTTGCCTGTGACTTTCTAAGGCTTTCTCTGCTGTGCATGTGGCAGGAAGTTTTATGACAGACTGGAACCCAAGAACTATGCTAGCATCAAGAAGCCTCCCCTCTTCAATACTCGGGTGGGGTGGAAGTAGGCAGGGATATCATTCAAAGGAGAATTCTCATGGTTTAGTATTTTGGCTTCTGTTCCTATTTGAACATAAGTTACACAAAACACTAAGAAGCAAGGAAATAGGTATAACAATGCTGCCTTTTACAAATGCTATTATAATTTTTAATGCTATTTTTAAAGAGACTTAGGATGGTTCACAATTTATAATGATGAACTTGAAAAGTTTAGAAATAAAAACAAATGAAAGGTGTACTAAGGAAAATGAGTAAAAGCTAGGGGAAAAATCAGCATATTGAAATATATACCACAGGTTGCTATGTACAGGCCCAGAATTTGGCTTTACATTGCTAAACCAAAGAGAGGAAACACCATCTGCTATAGATTTGTGTGGTCTATAAGATAAAAATGAGTTATTTGCTCAGGATAAACAGATTTTTCTAGTACTGAGACCCTAGCGAAAATTCTCTTTGGGGGTCTCCACAAATAGAGCTCTTTGAGATACAGTCAAGAGCATCATGTACAATATTCCTGCAACAAATTCAACAGTGATTTTATTGTAACTGTTTTTTTGATGCCTCACAAACTGAACTATTGGTAGTTTGGAAAACTTCAAAACCATCCAGACCAATTAGGTAGGTCTAGTTTCGTTTGGATGAATTCAGAAATTCATTGTAGAATAACTAAAAGAATGACTGATATGTATATCCTTCAGGCAACTCCCCATGAATATTATTTCTTGTAACTGAACTTTTGATGGGAATTGAATAGGTGAGGTTATATACTTTGGCAAGAACTGGGCATGCAGAAATTCTACAAGGCTGATTAAAGGTGCTGACTGTCAACCCCTGGAGTGTAGGGTTGAACGGGTGACATCATCCTATGAAAGTTAAAAAGATGAAACAGAAAATATGCCCAAATAGCTGGTCATTCATTCTACCTCTGTGCTCCAGAGAACAGAAAAGATGCATGCTAAGAAGACCATGCTTTCTTTTAAAATGACATTCAAAATGTTTTCATTCTCTGGCATAATTTGTGTAGAAATATGACAGGCCAAGTTAGCAGAAGTAGGGCAGAGAGCAAAGAAACAAAACCCTTGAATGAGGCAGCCTTTTTCATGTTAAAATGCATTTTCAAATGCTGTGGAACATCTCTCTCCAGATCCACCATACATTTCAGAAGCTAAGGGCACAGGTGTCCCTGTGGGACAGAAGGGGACACTGCAGTGTGAAGCCTCAGCAGTTCCCTCAGCAGAATTCCACTGGTACAAAGATGACAAACGGTAAGGTTCCCCCTCCTCCTCACCCCAGAAGGAAAAAACTACCAGTTTCCTGACTCCAGATGTTTGCAAATGAGTCTATAAAATCTTCTTTTGAAGTCACCATATCTGTGCAGGGGAGGTAATGTGCAAACATAGGCTTCTCCTAAATTAATAGAGTTCAGTGAGGTTTTTAATGTTGCCATGCAGAATTATCACTTGCCAACTACCAGGCCTGAAAGGTAACATTTTTTTAGGAATGCAAAAATCACAAAAGAAAGGCCGCCAAGAGTATTTAAAGGCCTGTAAATATTTTATAGGCCAGGAAAATAACAAGTTCTGCCTGAAGCTATTTTTAACACATTCATGGTTGGCATTAAGGTGTTCACACTGCTCTGGGCCCTCAGAATGATTCATGAGTCAACTGCAGCTCCCAAGTCCCCACTTCCGTTGAGGACTCTATTAGCCCTGGAGTGTGAGAGTCTGGCATCTGCCTTAGCCTTCCCTTTGTGCCCAGGTTGCTCTTCCTCTGTAGTGGAAAAGAGTGGGATTGTTCCCTTCCTTCCCATTGCTGCAGCCATCCATTGTGGGAGTATTTGCTGTGAGTCTCTGAAGGTGGTCATTTCTTGGGGTTATCAAGAGGCATGTCAGCACAGGGATCAGCAGCTCAGGACAGCAAGACAACATGGGAATTACTGTTATCAAAGGACTATTTTAAGGTGAATGAACAACAAATAAATGTGCATAAGCTGCATTCAGAATATTTCCATTAAAGTAGATGTGGATGCTTTGGAGATACAACAAAGCCTTGTGATAGATGTGGGTAGAAGAGGAGAAAGGAGAGATGAAAACCAAGAAGCTGAGAAGGGAAGACAATGAAGAGGACAATCAGAGAAGAGCAATGTGAGAAATCCCATCCCGGAATGCTCGAAGTGTTCCCCATGCTTCATGGACTGTGTTCAGTGCATCCTGGTTTCTTTCCTTATATGGTCAGACATCGAGAGCCTAATCTGTGAATGAAGGCATTTAGTCCTAAGATTCGCTGTCTTATCATGGTAAGGAGCAGCAGTTTTTTAACTTTTCAGGACATGTTCTGGCAGCTTCTAGAAAAATGTGTTGTATTCATCTAGCCCACTTGATTGATGAAAGACCTGAGGCAGAAAGGAGAAAACAAACACAAAAAGTAAGAAGAAATTCATCTGGCTTTTGTCCTTCTTTGAAGAATTTAGAATTCCTCCTCCTTCTCTGCTATCCTTCTTACTGTAATAAGAAGAAAACAGAGTTATAAAGTTCCAGGATGAGAAGGAAAGAAAGAAAGAAACAAACAAACATAAAAAGCTGCAGGGTCCATTCTTGAACCTTCAATTATTTAAATCTTAGTGAAAATTAATTGGCCGCATCCTTTTACTCCATTTCTTCATGGGAGGAAAATAGAAACAAAATTTACAGGAAAAGCAAGATCTCAAAGTATGTGGAGGAAAATGTAGTGAAAATGGCCAACGTTGCTACAAAGGATAAGGAAGCTCTGCTTTTTGCCCAGAAGTTGTGGTCCTAGGAGGGGGTATGTCAGCACCACCTGGAAGGAGTACAGAAACAGCACTGCCAATGAGGATTGAGAGAGCTTTGCTTCCTACTTGAGCCCTGATGGCTTCTCCTTTGCTCCCCTTCCATTGATGTTGCTCCATTGTCCATTGGCTGCTCATCTATTAATTCCTTTCCAGTGCTCTCCAGTGAATGGAGTCACCTCTCCTCTTGCTAGGCAGCTTGACAAGAACATCTTGGGTTCTGTGGTCTTTATCACACCCAGTTGAATCTGTCCCCCTGGAGCTACCAGGCAACCTTCTCCAGGCAGGTCCCAGAGGGTATATCTCACCTCCCCTGGGAAGCACAGCTCCAACGTACTTCCTATACTCCAGAAGATAAGCAGACTTTGAGGCAAATGGAAGCATCTCTGTGGCAGAGGCAAGCTGTGTTTTCAAGGTCTTTGACTCCATTCTAGTACCACTCTGCTGCTATTGCACATGTTACCAACCAAAGACAGAAGAAATGGAATTCTATATGTCCCTGTCCTACTGCCAGGAACATTAGGCACTGAAATGTCTACAGCTTCATGAAGAAATGAAACCTGATCATAGTATGGGATAGGGGAGGTAAATGCATGGAGAAGGGGCAAGTGTGTCATTGCAGAGTTGCGAAGGGCTGCACTGTGCCACTGTCCTTCTACACTGTGTTTAGCTAAAGGCGTTTCAGAGCTGTCAAGAAGGAATCTGCTCTCTGCCCACTACAGAGCCAACGTGTAATTAACAGTTGGATTCAGATGTGAAGGCTCTCTATGGTCTCCATCCCAGAAACACAGACCAAACAGCAAATGAGATCAATCCATTGGGTTGACAGCCCACAGAAGTTTCCAGCTGGTGGCAGGCTGAGCTGTCCTTGGACAGCACCCCCTAGAGGATCAGTGTCTGCATAACAAGCTGCAAATGCAAAATGTGGCCTCTGGCCCCACAGGAAGATACAGTACTTCATTCCTTTCTCCTATTGCAATCATTTTGTGAAGTCCAGGGACTCAGGCCTGGTCACTATCCTTATCTTGAGAGAGAAGGCTTGCAGAGGAAAATCCCCATAAAAGAGAGCAAGACAAGCCCCTCCAACCAACCTTCTGGCTTCCCCACGTGCAGATGTTGGGTGAGAATTTAAGCCAGAACTGATCAAGGTTACCATGAGTTTGGGGGGTTGATAGAGCCATGCTGTAATCTTACAGAGATGAAGCCTTCTGATAATGACAAATCAGCTGCCTCTATGCCAAAAATATACTATGACCCAAGTACAGACAGCAATACTTTTGTCTAACTCCAAAGAAATACATTACACTGAATAACATTTTACATTCAACAAAATATTTTCTCATCATTGTCTTGATGATTTCCATTTCTGCCTTGAAGATTGGTTTTCTGGGTTTGATGATTCCAACACCAGCCGCTGTCCCCGATGGGTTTTTCCTGAACTTGTTTCAGTGTGCATCCACCCTGACACTGTTGACTTACAGTCCTGCCTCAGGCCAGGCTCTACACAGGGATTTTTGACCCCATAATGTTTCTCTTTCCTATCCCATAGGATCAGCTTCTAGACAAGGAATACACATTATTTCAAGGAAAGTAAAAGGTTGGCATAAAGCCTATTGTCTAATAGGACATTTCATTATTTTCAAAAGGTACAGAATTTGTCTCAAATTCCTATGTAGATCCACAACTCTAATAGAAATTGCTGCTAAGACCTCCTGAAAAGGAGGAAAGCAGCTGCTCCCTCCTTACTCTCCATACCCTTACCAGCTGCTTTCCCCTTACTCTATCTATTTGCCCATAGTGGAATCCATGATTCCACAAGTGATTCAAATTCCCTGACCATATTAACCATCTGTGTCATTTCTTTGGTGGCCCCTACAATCGATAAGAGACTTCTAGCAGAGTGGTCTGCTCTAGGGGATTGCTGGATCTACAGGGTTCTATTCTTGGGAATCTCTAATTCCTCTCAGACTGACCCTCTATGATGTTCTTGGGAGATTACTCTTCCCAAGCCCTTCAGAGTCCCCTGATGTGAAAATAATCCCGATTATTTTTCTCCTCTTCACAGCCTAGAAAGTTATATCTTATCTGTAGAATGCCTTCATTGCTTAGGGAGAAATTTTATTACCCAGGTTCTAGAAAAGTGGGGTTTTCAAACCCCTTAAGTCACTCTTCTCTTGGAAGCTTGAGTTTTTCAATGTCAAGGTTATCGGCATCATCATCGTGATCATCATCGCCATCTCCATCTTCATTACCACCATCAGCAGCACCAAATAAATCCTCACATTTAAGCAGTATTATTGCATGCATAATACTGCTATGAATGTCACAGAACTGGAGCAGTATATTTGTGTGGTTTGACTGACAGGTTTACAAAGCAAGGATAAAAGGAAGCACCTGTCTTCGGAGAACTTAAATATGGGGAGAGGGAGGCGAAACATCTTGCCTAGAGCATATCTAGAAATATATATAAAAATGGAGAAATAAAGTTTCACGTGTCATCATGTGTGAACATGCAGTGTTACTAAGTGGAATGAACAGTGGTTATGATGATGTCAGGTGGGGGCAGAAGGAAATGGGAAGATCATTAACTCCAGAGTCTATTTCTGTTCTACAAGAGAAATTGACCATCTCTTCTTTTTTCTCCTTTTGTTTTTGTCTTTTGTCTCAGACTGATTGAAGGAAAGAAGGGAGTCAAAGTGGAAAACAGACCTTTCCTCTCAAAACTCATCTTTTTCAATGTTTCTGAACATGACTATGGAAACTACACTTGTGTGGCCTCCAACAAATTGGGCCACACCAATGCCAGCATCACGCTATTTGGTGAGACTGTGCCCTGAATGGGCCACTGAGAGTCTGAAGTGTGGGTCACTGGAGGGTTGGAGGAGGGTCTGAAGTTAGGCAGGGAGAATGAAAGACTTGGGGTGGTATACAAATGTGAAAGTAAATATCAGGGTAGGGAAAAAATGAAAAAGAGCATCCATTTCATTCTACAATGAGAAAAATCCTGAAACAGAAGAAAACATTGGGATGCCAAAATTCCATTTTTCTCCCCTCAGTAATGTCTCCTGAAATGACTTGAGAATAACTGGGTAAACTTAAAGTACCTAGAGAGGAGTACGTACTACTTCAATATTTTCTTCCCTGGATTAACATAACATGTGCCCTTTTCTGAAACTTTCCCCACCCATTGGGATGTGAGAAAAACTGAATTATATTTTTACAAAAACAGAATTACAGGCCTGTGTATCTTTAATCATATTAGCTACAGAGGGAGAAGTAAGACAGAAAATGAGGATCTTTCCAAGTTCCCCATTTGGTCCATGGATGTTGTATGGCTGGATTAAAACATTTGTCCATCCAAACCATCATCTTGAAAGATGTCACATAGTCATTCATACATGAATTCTTTAAACATTCATTGAGGGACTAATCATATAATGCTTAGTGCTCTGTCTTCATTCCATGTCTGGCAACTGTGTTGGTTCCAGAAGCAGGTACCCAAGCTCCGTGGTAGGTCCACAGATGCCCAGCCCTCTGTTAATAGATGTCTATGCAGAGTAGGTCTTCATCCCTGTATGTGCCTCCAGGCACCTGGTGGGGGCTTTCATTCTTTGATGGATACAGAACCTCCCTACAGGACACATGATTAATTCCAGTTGCCTCCTGCACAAACCCCTCAGTAAGTCTGGGATCTTTTCAAATCAATTATCCATAACCTCCATGTTAAGAAACACGCTTTAATTTGATAAGAAAGGAAATAAAAGGAATTTGACAGAAAACTGGCAAACGTGACTGTTTCTATTCTGAGAAATCCTGGATAATCTCATAGCCTCAAGGGCCTCACTGTCCACCCTGCCCTGGCATGTGCCCCTGATGGCAGTGTAGGCTGTCTCCTGACAACTCTGCTTCCAAGTCATATTTGGCTGGTGTCCTTCTCAGCACATGAATTCTAGCTCAGCATTATCTGGGAGGACCTGGAAGGGGAAGGCTGCCCTCGATCTCAGAACCTGCAGCTCAGGATGGGGAGAACTGTGATTAGAGTGATTGATCTATCTGGCATCTCTGGAACAATGATGTTCATGAGTTCCCTTCACTTTTGTCAGCCTCTTTTGGTTTTGTTTTGGAGTTTTTTTGGCAGTTGTCTCTAAATACATAGAGAGCCTGGATTGGAGAGGAACAGTTCCCCCTTTCTTTTCTTGCAAATCTATAGCTCTCCCACAGTCTCCCTTCAGCCCATTTCCAGTCCTGCTTTGCACCCAAGGCAGTCCCCATTCTTCAAATGGTCTTCCTCCTTCTTTGACCTCTTTTTCTGATGTGAGCCATGGTTTTGCCATTGACTTTATGATTCTTGTCTAATTCCCAGCCTTTTCCCTTAAGCCAACTCAAGGTGAAATAGCAGCAAACTTTTGTAAAGAGTGAAATAGCTGTCATTTATGACATGAAAAGCAGTGAAGCGTGTGTTATAAAAATACTCTTTCAGTAGACACACGCGTGGCCATGACAACATCTGCTTTCCCCTCTGGTCCCACCACTGATATGAGAGCATTCACCCTGTGTGTCCTTTGGGATTTTCTTGCCATTGTCAGTTTTCTGGAGGCTGGGGTTCTCTAAAAAACACATTAAAAAGTGATAGTACCTATTCAATTAAGATTAGAAGGACTGGGTCAAAGAAAGAGGAATGTAGTATATGTGAGATGTTATTTAACATAGGTGGTCTCAGAGCTGTGACGTGCTACATCTCTAAAATGGAGATTAAATTTGCAGCATCTCCCCACTGAATCAGTCAGAAGCCAATTCCATTTTCTAGTCTCAGTTGAGAGACGGTTCCTAAGGAGCCAGTCACAGATTACTGCCTGGGTGTCATCATTCCATGGAGCTAGCGAAACCCCACTAATCTTTGAAAGGAGTGTTTCCGACCCATTGGCTCTGACCAAGTCTAGCCCAGACATTACTGTGGCTCCTAGGCTCATCACTGAGGCTCACCGTCAATGAAAGCCTTGGACAAATATAAGTTGGTCAGGGAATTCTCCATGTCGCTTTCCATTAAGAGTCATGAAGTAGATGTGAGCAGATTGCAAAGCAGGTTTACTTTCCGTGATTATGCATTCATAGTGAATTTTATTTTCCAACATCATCACAGAAAGCCAACTACATTACCATCATTTTGTTGCCAACTTGTGTGTAAACTGTGCACTCCTAATGCCTACCATGAGCAGTGTCTTCGAGAGGATGCTCAGGCCAAAAAGGGCAGGGTGGTCCTTCCCATTGCGAACTGCCTGGGACTGCATGGCCTTCAGTGCACTTGGGACTTTCATCCTCATATTCTTGAGTCACGGAGGTTCAGGGGAACCTTATTCCCATCATGGTCCCATGGGGTCATACATAAATTTCTGACCTTGGTCTCCCAAGATGACACAGTGGGGGTGAGTGCAGGGGTGAGGCTATGGTAGAAAAATCTCAGGAAAGGGACACTGGTCCTTTGTTATTGAGTCAGAGCCACAGGACTCAGCTCAGGACAAGCTAGGCATGAATCCATCTGCACTGGAGAATAAGTAGAGTGGCCAGCTCTCTCCCACCCCAGCCATCCCAGACACGTGTGGAAATGCTAAGCATTTTGGTATTTGTCTTGCTTCACCTTGTCCTGCCACCTTTGGTTTTTGTGTCTTCTTTTATTTGGCCATTCTTCCAGAAATGCTTGTGAAAGGCAGTATACAAACTATATATGACAAATATATAGCTACTGTATATAATATATGTGTTTGTTTTCATTTTTCTCTCCTGTATGTCCCTCACCTGACTTAGAACTAAATGAGCCTACAAGCTCAACTTTGTTGCAAGGTCAGTATCCCCTCACTTTATGTTTTTTGGTCCTCCCCGTCAATCCCCCAATCCCTTTCCCTCTCTGTACCCTGCTGGGCATTACCTGACAGTCCTATCAATCAAATGGCTTAGAAGATGACAGTAGAATGTTATTTAAGGAGGTTCTTGGGACTTTGTGAAACGTCCAAAGATGGCTGTCTTTTTCTCTGCTCATCCCTTGCCAATCATGTCCTAGGAGGGCTGGCAGGGGAGAGGATAATAAAGCATCAGTAAAATCTCAAAACCCAAAGATCAACGAGATCAGTGGCAAATATGAAGGGAGTAAATCTGAACTCAGAGGAAGACAACCCAACTGAGTGTTTCTTATACCAGAAGACCTGCTGATTGTCCCTCAGCAACAGAATCAAACACAAGTACTTCATGACTTGTACATTCCATCCATGAATCCAGCCATTCCCAAGGCTCTCTAAAGGAGAAGAACAGGCATGGTGCCCCATGATAGCCCCCAGCAAGTGGTGATCCAGAGTGGGCACCACTGACTTCTAGTTCAGAGCTTGACCTCGAGGAATTCTCTGTTCTTGAGAAATTCACTAAACCTTATTTGGATTATGTTTCCTCCTCTATAAAGTGTAATAGATATGTTTTATCCCTCTCAGAGAATTGTTTCAACATTCAACTGGAAATGCATATTGAAAGGCTTTGAAAACAGTTAGGTGCATTTGGATTCTCCAGATATAAGCTGAAAGACCAGGCCCCTACAGAGCACACTATAGATCTATCACCTGGTGTCCCAGCCCCTTGACACCCTCTTACACCACAAACCCTTGCCCATGTGTGACTCCTGTATTACTCGCCACTCTGCACATCCCTTTCAGTTTTCTCAAGGTTCACTGTGACCATGACTAAATACTGTACTGAGCAGTGAAATAAAACTTCTTCCCTGTGCTGCTGTTCTCCTCTTGGGGTGAGTATGGATCCCAGCAGGAGTCCTGCAAAGGCAGCTGGAAGAGAAGTGGCTTTCCCTGCCTCCCAGCTCAATCTTCTGGCCTCCCTCTTCCTACCTTACCCATGCCCATCCTGTTATTCCGTTCACATTCTGTGTGTGCCAATAATCATGGGAGGATGGCAGTCGGCATGAGAGGTGGGAGGCAGAGATAGAAAGAAATGAATTATTTGGGGAGCTGTTTGACAGGTGAGGAAAAATACTTTTATCATGAAAAGTGTCAGGGCTGTCTTATTCACCTTGGTGATGTATATACTACCATGGTGATGAACCACAAGTAGGAAAAGGAAACAGAAATAAGAAGGAAAAGAGAAGTCAATGGACGTGTTCAGATTCAACTTGTGATTCATCTTATGTGTACGGAACCCCTGCAGGAGGCATATTCACAGATCTAAAATAGCATCAGAAAAGGAGCTTACATAAATGGTATGAAGGAAGTGAGGTCTGCAGGGAGGCAGCTGATGCTATGCATGTGCTTCCGGAAGTTCTGTACTGATTCTGACCTGTAGAACTTCATTCTCAGAGAAAATAGGAGCTTTTGAAACTCAGGTCATGGTGTCTAACAAGCTGACACTTCATTAAAGTTGTATACAGCCCAGAGAACAGCATCATCCCACTCCAACACCATCGCCAAGAAAAGCAACCAGAAACCAAAGCAAACACATCACTGTACCTGGTGCCTAAGTATGAGACTAGGACCTGGAGACAACGTTCTCAGCTCCATCCGCTGAGACAAGCCTGGGCTGCCTCACCTCCCTATTTTGTGAACTGACCAATTTGAGGGATCCTACCTCAATGCCAAATATCTACTGTTATTCCAAGTGTGTCCAACCCCTCATCCCAGCAAACTTCTTGGGTGCAGGGGATGGGTCAGGTAGAAGGTGTAGATTGTGGGGATTGGAATGTTTAAACAGTTGGCTTTATGAGGTCATCAGCATACCTTCTGCAGTCTGCACAACTAGGAATATTTTAAAGGAAATAGACCTTGCATCTGGGCACATGTACCACATTCATCTGTGTTCATTTTCCCCTCTTCTTTGCCAGTCTCCAATAAAATAGGTAGCTGCCTATTTTCTCTGGGAGTATCTCCAGGTTATGCTCATCTTATCTAAGAAATACAAGAAAGATTTATACGAATACGTGCATTTCCACTGATAGGGAACTCGTGGCTTTAAGAGATGTTCAAAGCTATTTTGCTACCCAAAATCTAGATGGGCTAGAAGGATTTTGATAAGAGAATTTCATTCCTACTCAGCATTTTTTGCCACCCTTGAAGTATTTCTCTGCCTCCATTTTGCAAACACAACGGATTGCATGTCACCTTCTCATATTAATATTTGGTGGTACAAGACTCTCGCAGTGATAAATAAGAGTTAAGGGCTGTGTCTCCATCACTCACAGGACTTCTGCACAAGCAAGTGTGCCAGGCTTCACTGAAAGCTCAGCGGCTCCCCAGAGGCTTCTTTTCCATCCCTGCTCTTGGTTCGCATTCAGACAGACTTGATGGTATCAGAGGGCTGGAAAAGGGTAATTGATTAATGCTGGTGAACCTTAGAGTGACCACCAAGACAATTTATTAAAGAATAGGGAACTAAAGTAAACTCTGGGTATCAGAACAGAACAACTGCAACCCAGTTCTTCCCTGCAAGAGATTGAAGATTGTTAGTTAGGCCAAGGCACCAAGGCATCCAACAGTTAGCATTTCTATGGCATGTGTATATCAAATACTAGAAGGTGCAAAATTCTTTAGTGTCCTTCTAGAAGTGTGTGTCCATTCTTACCCATACCTCTGCCTATTAAAATTAGATAGGAGCCCTGTACATGGATTCAGCTAAGAGTATTGGCTTTGCTGGCAAAAAAAAAAAAAATCACTTCATGAGTTGAACCAGAATCTCTGAATATAGATGGACTTGGAAACTTAGTGTATAGACAGTTCTTTTTTTAAGTTATTTTTTCTTTTTTGTCTCCCTCTTTCTCCTTACCTTCCTTTTTAGTTCCTTGTTCCATTCTTCCTTTCTCCCTCCTTCCCCCCCCCTTCCTTTTTCATTCTCTTCACTATCGTTTCCCTCAACTTCTTAATAAAGAAAAATACGTGATTGTTTCTGTTCTCAGTAGCTAAGGTGTAACTCAAAGCCTTGAGCTTATGGCTAGGACTGTCTCTGGCATAGTTTGTGCTCTAGAAGCACAACCTAACAGAAGCCTGTCAGTGACACATAGAAGACAGTATCAGTGTCCCCGAGTCTCTTGTTAGTGTCAAAGCACAGGGGTTGGATGGAGCCAGCATGCTGGGTTTGGAGTACATGTAAAGCCTGCCTTACCTTCATTTCCTCCTTGTTATGAGCAAAGACAGAAGGAGACTCTGTTTAACTCAGGTTCAAACACCGCTGCCTGGAAAAGCCAGTGAATAAATTCTAGCTAAGGTCAAGGCAGAGTGTGAATTCTTCTTCACCTTTGTTGATACTAAAGAGAATTGGCCTTTCAAATTGAGTGTGCTGGGATTCAGAGTGGGGAAAAGAAAGCTAGATGGGAACAATTAAGCTGAAGTGGTTCTCAGATCTTTTCTGAATATAAAATCACTCTGTTATCTAGAGTAAGAACTTATGCCTTCAATTTACTCTCTGTTCTGATAACCCCAATTGCCAGAGAAGAACTTCTCTGTGTCCTCCAGCCCAGTCAGAAGCAGCGCCCCCATGTGTCTGGGGGTAAAAGTTATATGACTTCTTTATCTCTCCAAGCCTCTCTTCAGACTGTCCTTCATCCTTCCAATTCTCTCCTCCTTGCCACAAGAATACTCACAAATTAGTGGTACCGACATGGACAGTTCATGGCAACGGCTTCTGCTTACTTTCTGTGCTGGTTTTAATGACTAGCAAGTATCCAGAGGACTGTCCTTGCTGAATGCACAGACACCATGGACCACCAGTCCTGCCTTATCTCTGTCATTCTGGCTTTACATCATGTCTCCTTTAAGTCACAAAACACTCAGCCATAGATCACTACTTACATCTTTATATCTTCAGAGTGGCTTCTCAGGGTTGGTAATGTCCACTTAAATCAAGCAGATTTTCTTATGTCAGGTGCCCTTGAAGGAGAATTTGCATGGTAGGCATTGATCTGATTTTGAACAAAACATGGTAGGCATGCTTGGGATGAATTATATTTGTGTTGCCTTGCTGTGTGCAAGGAACTTTGCACAAAGAACACAGACTGCAGACATATCACTTCCATGCAAAGACTACAATGCCATTTTCCACCCTTTCTATATCAAAAGTGAACAATGGCAGAGGGCATTAGCTACAAAGGGGAGAGATAAAAAATGAAGGGCAGAGACGACCTCTGGCATCAGGTCAGCAGAAGAGATGTGAGCAAGGTAGGTGGTCCTGAGAAGTGAAGTTGGTAACATCCAGTCACAGAGGGAAGCTGGCAGCACAGGCTCCACAGGGAGGTCCAGGGAGTGTGGCTGGGCAGCAAGTACATCCTCAGTTGGCCCCAGAGAGATGAGCCTATGGGACAGCTTCACATCGCTGGATGCATAAAATGAAGTCAGATATCAAAACTGCAGTTTCACCCGGCCCTGCTCTCTCATAGATAAATGCATGTCAAACTTGCACCTTTCAAGCGCAGCATGAGCAACTACATCCTGACTGCTGTAGTATAAGTCAGCCCAGCCACGCACTTAGGACCCATAGAGGTCAGCAACTTTGTGGACAGTCTGATGACCAGCTCAGAAACTTGTTCCACAAAGAGACCTGACTTGGCACCTTAGGCTCCAATAGTATAGCCACATCTCCTGCCAAATCAGTGGATGTTTTGACTCTGCCTCCACCTGAAGTCCACTCTGACCATTATTCACACCCTTCCTCAGATGCTAGCTCACTACCAGCTACCTCAGAAAACAAAAGGGGGTCACTGTGAGCTCAGGGCTGTGGTCAGAGCGGCAAGGGGCCGAGGCAGGAGGCCTGGGCAAGCTCTTGGGCTGTGAGTGCTGGCTCATTCGGAAAACCACCTGCGTGCAAAGGGAGTGCCTCTCACTGCTTCCACCTTAACAGTGGCTTGTTTTTAATTTCTTTTAGAAGTGAAAACTACAGCCCCGACCCCCTGGAAAGGTTGGTATATTTATTATTCAGGTAGCTGCTGCCTTGGTGGGGACGGAGTCTGTAAAACTTCACTTCCTTCCAAGATGCCTTCTTTTCTGAGCTTAGCCCAGGAAGCAAGGACCCTCCCCTGACCTTGATCTGCTCTGTGTCAGTTCAGATTAACCCCTCCTCAAGGACACCCTACCCTCTGTGGGTAGCTCCCACTCGCACAAGTCTAACTTGTCTTTGCTGGCAGCACTAATGAGCACCTGTCAGTGCCTAGAATAGCTCCATCTCTGGGCAATCCCACACCACACCTGGTCTCTCTTTGCTCACGGTCGCTCTCATGCAATGATCTTCTCAAATCTTGGCCTTGCACACTACCCTTTGCTTCCCCCTTCTCTCTTCTGCTGTCTCTAACTTGGAGCTGGAAGGGAAGCAGGGAGAGGGAGGTGAAATGGGAGGAAGGGGAGGTTCTGGGGTGAGTCACTTGGCTAGGAATAAAATGTGTCTTCTTTGAGGCTTTCATTCCTGCCAGATGTTTCCGATGGATAATTGACACTCATCACAGTTCTCTGGGACCCTAACTGTCCTGGTAATTAGTCTCTTTAGGCCTCCGCAGCTCTCTAATGAGATAGAGGCAATAAAGGCATGCAGTGTGGAGTGGAGGCGTGGCTGGATGAAGAACAGAGGCCTCATCTGTGTGGCTGTGTCACCAAGCAGATGGGCCGAGCTGTCATTCTGCCCAGCACTGGTTCTGAGAGAGCCGCGCCTAGGACACTGTGACCCATGCCTGCCTGGACAGAGATCCTCATCTCCTTGCATCCACCCATGCGGCATTCATCTGGGGTGGGGCAAGGCTGGGCCCCACTTTCTCTTCTCTTCACCCTCAGATGCTCAAGCGAAGCATTCAGCTCTAAGTTAGTGGAAGAAAACTGCATTTAGAGGCAAACTCATGGGACACCAGGAAAGCCACCTATTGAAAGGAGATAACCCTCCTCTCCTACATAAATGCATCAGGTGTTGGGATCGATACCTCTCCAGCTACAAGCATTCTTCCAGATTCCCTAGTCCAGTGGCTTTGCCTCTTTGTAGACACTCACTTGGCACCAGGATTTTCAGTGACTTTTATTGCCTTTAATTAGGAAAACGGAACAGAGGTGTCCAGAAGAGAGAATAGAGGTAAAACAGGGCAAGAAGTTTTTTGTTTTATTTCTCACTGGGTTTCTGTTCTCCAAGTACAACATTAAGAGAAAGAAAACAGAAAGACGGAGTAAATATGGACAGGTCAGCAGGAGTCAAAGTACTCTTTACTTTAGTCAACAAACATTTGTTGGTCACCTGCCATGGGCCAGTAAGACAAAGCATTGTCTTTAGGAAGCTGAGTACTGCTCAGACAATACATCTAGACAGGGAAAATTAGAATCCAAGAGGGCAACTGTTTAAATAGTAGGGTTCACATGGTACTGAAAGGGCAACCCTGAGCCAAGCAAAGAAGGCTACCTGGAGGAGATGGCTGAGGCTGGGACAGAAACTGGAATGAGGAGCAGGAGCAATGAGATGAAGAGCATTTCAGAGAGGCAGCATGTGTGAAGGAGGGAAAGAGGGTGCTGGCCTGTGTCGGTGTGTGGGTCTGCACATGCCCGTGTGCAGAGGAGAGGGGGACACAGGGACGGAGTACAGAAGAGAGGCGAAGGGAACAGAGCAGGCAGATCACTCAAGAGTGGTGCACATCCTACCAAGAAGGTGGACGTGGGGCGAGGATGTAGCAATGTGGCTCCCCTGCCTGCCCCACAAGGGCAAGGACCAGAGTTTGATCCCCAGTACCAAAAATAATAATAATAATAATAATAATAATAATAATAATAATAATAATAATAAAAGAAGGTGGATAATTTTGGGTAGGGCTCTAGGACTCAGCCTAGAATGATCACTTTGGTTAGCATAAACATATTCGAGAAGCCCCAGTGGCCTCCCTTGGGAAAATATGCCCAGACCCCCTGCCTCGGGGCTGCTGCTCTTTCTTACTGCTTCTGCCCAACTCATCCTGGCCTGGTTTCCTGGCTGTGCCACAGGACAGACAGGATCATGGGGAGGCTGGTTGTGAGGAATGGAAGGAGTGGGAGGGTGGGATGAGGCTGGATGTGGTCGCAGACAGGGTATGGAAGGCCCTCTTGGGCCTGGATAGGAGCACCAGGGAGACACCTTGAGGTTTTCCAGGACAATACTACAAGGGAGAGGATGCATTTGCAGGCACCTGGTGGCCTTTTTCTGCTCTCTATAGGAAGTTTTCTGGCACTGAGGGTTAGGGTGTCTCCTAGGAGGAGCAGAATCACAAAGGAGCTCTGAGGCATGCAACAGAACAAGGGAGTCAGTCAGGCAGAGAGCCTGGCAGAGCTGCCGGTCCCTGTGACAGGCCAGCCCAGAGCCTCATCCAAGTTGCAGAGTCCCTGGACCAGAAACAAGGTGTTCCGCCCTTGCTTACATGGTAACAGCCAGGCTCCTGCTGGGTGAACACCGAGCTCATGCCTCTGTCCCTTCCCTGTCAGCCCTGGAGGAAGAGGATACAGAAGAGAGAAAATCTAAATACTCTCAGTGTTTGGATTTGACTTCCATCTCTTTTATCACTAGGCATCTTCTTGGCCATGGCAGGGAGGTGGGAGGAGTACAGTGGAAGAGTGTGTTGGAACCAAATAGGGAGTGGCCTTCAACGCAGTGTTTGCGGGTGTTCAGAAAAGCAAGAGAGAAGAAAGGAAAAGAAGCCACGTGCTGACAGCTCTTTGTCCTGCCAGTACAGTTGGATCCATTCTAGGCAACATGCAGTGAAGTGGAAGGTGATCACTGATTCTGTCCAGGGGAGACAAGGAGCCAGATCCCACAAAGGCCTGGTGGGCCAGGTGTACCTTGAAATCATCTTTGTGTCTTTGAGTCCTTAACCTCAGGCACAGGAGATGGCCTTGGTGGGAGGGAGCTTGCAGTGGTTCACAAGGCAGAGATGTCCTCCATGGGCAGTGTCAGGGAGATGCTTCTCTCCTATGACCCCAAGGAAGGGCCAGAGTAGATGACAGTGTATGGATATGAACAGGGAGTTCCTGCTGGTGGTTTGTGTAGAAACAATAGTCAGCTTCTAGAAGACATAACAAACTAGTGATCAATCCTAAGTGACAACGGAAATGTGAGACTTCAGGACTTTCATAGCTATGCTCCTCTGTCACCTGTGTCCCCTAGGATGCATTCACTGTTGTGTGGCCCACCAGGTAGCCTCCATGCAGGGAAGAGCACAGAAGGAGCTTCCCCAGGCTACTCAGCACAAGTATAAACACTTGCACCACCAAGAAATTCTGGCTTTAGGAGTGCTGTGCCCCACACCCAAGGGAACAGGAGTTTCCACAGCCTGTTGTATGTCACTGCCCTAAATAAAATGTTCATCTCAAAGAGCTAAGAAAGAAAATCATGTGGGTAGTTTCCTTGGGTTGGATATTTTAGGACTATGAAAATCCCATATGGAATCAAGAAGCCAGATTTGATTCCAATATGATTTAACCAGAAGTGGCTCCAGTACTGAGCAACATACACAGGCAGGATCTGTCCATATTCCCCACCCTTTGAGGACCTGGGCCCAGTGTGACCACCAGCTTTACACCCCTGCCTGTTAAACTCAAGGCCAGGGAGCATGCCATACTGGGTCAACTGAGAAGGTGTCCTGGTTCACAGGTACCTACCTGGTTCATTTGGGAATCCATTCCAGGTCCTGTTCAGGAATCACAGTTCCATTTGTTACTAGGGTCCTTGACTACAAGAGCCAGCAGAGTCAAAAAGCTTGTGCTGCAGAGCAATAGGGAAACTGCTAGGGAACTTTAATTCTCCTGGCTTTTGTGCTTGGGCTCATCTAAAAAGTCCCATGTTTGCAGGCCAGCTTGATGATTGCCTTGTAGGGAAATGTATTCCCTCTGCAGACACACCCTGAGGCAGCTTCTGCACCCTGTTGTCCACATAATCCCTAGTTATATCCACGTCCACACAGCAAAAGACCTCCTGTATCTTCACTCAGTCCCACCTCCACTACATGTGGGCTAGCTGGGGCCTTCAGGCAGTGATGCATGAGCAGTATCTGCCATTACCTGGTCCAGATGGGGAAAAGGCCAGGCAGTCCAGGTGGAGCCCGTGCCAGCCCTGAGATGGAATGATTGACAGAGTGGACGCTGTGCCCCATGCAGCAATGGCAGCAGGCAGACAGATTGTTCTGTCCAACAGGTCCTTCTCTGAACAACAGGCTGAGCAGCTGGAGGGTTGTGTGGATGTTTAAGGCAGTCAGAGCTCAGCGGAGTTGCGTGACCATGAGAACACTGCAGAGGTCTCACTTTATTGAATCTCTGTGTAGGACATGTACCCATCTGCCATTGCATTCTTAAACTTAACCCTGAGCAATGGCCCTAGCATGTTATACTGCAGCCAAGGAGCAGTGTTCACCAGGACACTCTTGACCCTGAGCCTCCTGTTCTCTCCTTGCCAGAGAAGGCTTCCTGTGGGACAGAGACCAATCACTGGAGGTCACAGTTCCAGAAGGCTCATTTCTAATGCAAGAGCTGAACACCGAGTGCTCTACGTCACCAGAAGAGCAGGCTGGGGGCACCAGAATGGGCCACAACTGGGGTTCTCTTCCATGTCTCACCAGGTGGCTCACTACCAGTATTTCTTTCCACAGGCCCAGGCGCTGTCAGTGAAGTGAGCAACGAGGCATCAAGTAGGGCAGGCTGTGTTTGGCTCCTTCCTCTCCTGGTCTTACACCTGCTCCTCAAATTTTGATGTGAGTGCTACTTCCCCCTGGGGAGAGCTGCCGCCACCACATCTACCAACACCACAGCACGGCAACATGACAGCAACAAGACAGAACCCAGCGAAACGGAGAATCACAGCCTAAGGGGACAGAAATTCGAGGGAGGGGGACAAAGAATACTTTGGGAAAGAAAAAAAAAAGTTTAAAAAAGGAAATTGAAAAATTGCCTTGCAGATATTTACGTATCACTGAGTTTTCTTTCTTTTCCCAAATGGGAAGAATGCACACCTGGCTTGGCTTGGACCCACCTGCAAGCTCACTCACTGTGTGACCTCTGTCGCCAGGGTGGGCAAGGGCTCAGCCACTCTGCCCCCTGAAGTGCCCCACCATGGAACATTCTGGAGTCGGCCATCCCAAACCCCATCAGTCCATAGAGACAAATGCAGAGTGGGACAGTGGCCCAGATGTGCCACGGCAGGCCTTGGGTAGATGGCGCCACCATTGAGTGTGTCCTGAAATGTGAATTTGAAACAGAAAGCGAAAGGAAACCAGACAGCCCGACAGCATCAATCCCACAAACAACAGTCACAAAAGATATTGTTAAACTTTTTTTTTTTTCATTTTACTACATGGACATCATGGATAATAAGGGATTTGGATTCATTATTAATTTTATTAATTATATTTTCTGATATGAGTCTAGAATTTAGTGCAAAAATGAGACAAACTAAACTACACACAGGAGAAGGGTGAAGTGTGTTTGTGAAACATTAAAAATGAATAGCGTGCTTCTTAACTAGGTTTACAACTGGTGGACCACACACCAGACACTAACCACCTGGTGAGGGTTTGGCATTTCCACCAAAACCACATCCAATTTAACCAACATCTCCACCAGCGTTACAGATTGCTCCTTTTCCTGATGTTTCATGCAGACAATGCTATGCTATCTCCATACTGTTTAGAAGTGAAAAGTTGATCTGCACTGTATCTGGGTTTGTTGGCTATGCTTCTTTTGAGACATATATTATACAGTATATATATATACATATATTTTTTTTGTTACAGTTCTAGCCATTTCGTTTCTCAGCAGGGTCCTTCCTCAGACATTACTGCATGCTGTATATGGCGTTAGCTGTGTGTTGACCTTCTAAAAGATGATAGAGTTTACTGGTAATTGTGTAATCAGCTCCTGCCTTTTTATTTTCTTGGGTTATTTACATGTCAGAGACATTTATAAAAAGTGAAAAGAAAAACGATGACAACAACAACCAATACCAGGCGCAGCATCTTTCCAGGTGTGGCTTTCTGTGGCCAAGGCCCTCGGCTGGTGGCCTGGCTGGCTGCTCCATGACGCCTTGGGGTGTTGACAGACAGCAAGCCTCTGAACCAACTAAACCGTTAGTAACACTTGCTTTAGCCCATTAAGGGAATCCCGGATGCCTTTGTGACCACTGGAGAATTTAATCCTCTTGGTTTATTTTATTTAATTTCCCACCTTTGTGTGAGTGTGTATGAAAGAGAAGAAAAATGCCATTTTTAGGTAACCTTTTTTCCTCCCTTGAAGTCTGGGAGCCAGAGCGGCCTCGGGGAGGGGTCCTGGATGTGATGAGGGAAAGTGATTGTGGGAAGGGGAGGGGGGTTGTCTCTGACTTGACATTAAAAAGTGTTCCATGTCCCTCTTCATCTGGTGTGCTGCCTCATTCTACAGCGGGCGTATGGGCCAGCCCTGCCTGGCTGGGCCTGAAGAAAAAAGAGGTTAAAAAAAAAAAAGAAAAGGGAAGTGGAGAGGATCATGGATCCCTCCAGGGGTGGCGGGGAATGTTCCCTGGTCGCTCTGACGACCAATAGAAGGGTCATGAGGCCACCTCTGTCCTCCTCAAAGGAAAAAGGGGATGTGTGGTTCTGGCAGGGACTATGCCTCAGTGGCTGCAGGAGTTCCTGACTGGAACATCGCCTCATCTGCTTGTGGGACAAATGTCAAATCCAGTGGTAGCTTTTGGGCCTGAGTAATTCTTGGAGTCAACATACCAAATGCGCATGTGCACACACACATACACACACACACACACACACACACACACACAAATAGCTAGAAACTCTATGGTGGTTGCTGTTCAATAATCCCAAATCCCATCAACCAATGTCTGAGACTCTTCCCTCCTTGTCCATCCTCTGCCCTCCAATCTCACTTTCAGTCACAGGTGAAGAAGGAAGGTATATTTTAATACACAATATTAGTGGGGTGATTTTAATATGTCCTGAGTGATCCTGGAAATTTAGTAAGTAGCAGAAGAGTCACTTGGAGACAGAAATGAGATCAGAGCCAGAACACTCAGGAATTAGTGTAAGCGTGTCTTCAAGTGTCAGTTTGCCTGGGAGGAGTTGGCATGTTTGGAAAGAAGCAGGTCATTTCCAACTGCCATTAGTGAAGCTGAGATGACACTGTTGACCACCTTTCTTCAGACCCTCTTGTCCTCCTACCTCAGGTCCCAGATACCCAAATTCTCCCCGATAGCAGTGTGGGGACAGTCTGGCCAAACATTCCAGATGTGCTGGTGTTGCCCCTCCCTATGTCCCCTAACTGCCAATGGTGAGGAGCTTCATTTTCCTTAGAATAAAAGCAAGTAGGTGAGAGTCATGCCTCTGCAGACACTCGCTGAGGGTTTGGGTGCAGATCATGGCATGCAAGAACAGAGTAGGTTTCCATGTTCCTGAACTGCAGCCCAGAAAGTTCATAAATGAAGTGTGAATGAAGTGTGCCAAGGGCACCCACAAAGAGACATAGCCTGGGCTTCACTGGGACAACAGAACACAAACATACAATCTTCATTTGAACAGTAGCTTCTCTTCCCAATATGTTACTACTAGGTCCCTATTAGTGGTAGATATCTACTAACTAATATCTACTGAGCTACTACTAATCGATATCAGTAATATTTGTATTACTAACCATGCTTAAGAGTACTCTGTTACCAACCTCCTAGGAGAGTGGTACAGGAAGCAGTACAGGCTGCTTCCGTCATGTCCTTTCATGTGTGTAGAGGAGGTTGTCTGGGATGCACAGTTCCTAATGACGCTCACCAAATATCATTGTAGAATCCCATTCATGTACTTTCACAAGATATCTGCTCCTTTCCAGCCATACAGATGTGCAGTACTTCTCCAGCTCCTGTAGTTTAATCTTTCCCTCTCAATATTCCCGAGTAGGTCTGGATGTCTACCTTGAGGAACTGTAAGTACTTGGGCCCCTCTCATCAGCAGGACGTATGAATGTGGAGCTGTGTCAATGGTTGATGACCAACTCATGTTCACATCTCTGCTGTGGATGGTGATGATGACAGTGATGATGAGTGAGAGGTGTTGTCCTTTAGGCTGGAGATGAGTGAGCAAATGAATCAACACTAATGTCTGACTGACTTTTGGCACATTTCACTGGAATGACCCCATCTTTATCTCATGCCTCCTGACCCATGAGTTCAGAAGGGAAGACAGTAGCACTAATCAATCTCTGAATTCTGTGTGGATTTGTTTTATTAAAAAATGTAAAATCTGGACTTTGCAAAACACCAGTAATTTTCTATTCTTATAATGGTAAAAGAAGTGTAAGGTTCTTGTCACTGAAGGAGAAAAATATACGTAAAAGGAAAGCTGTAAAAAACTATAGGTCACTGATCTTGCAGAACCAAAGTGCCACTGTGTTCCTACTGGCCACTTGTACGTAAGCATGCCAGTCATTTCCCCAAGAAACAAATTAAAATAATTGAGATTAGTGTTTTCTAAACATAAGCACTATCTCTTTTCAGCATATTTTTTTTAAATTAAACTGAATTCCAGATATAATTTGCTCAGACCTTGCTCCCTGGGACTTGACTGTGCAGTAGTTTCCTTTGTTATCTCATAACCACTCAATCAAGCCAATCTAAATCATCAGTTCTTACCTCTCTGTGTTCTCAATTCAAACACTATTTCCCTGAGCACCCAACTCTATCCACCTCCAAGGCAATAAATGCAAATTAATATCCCCATGATTTGTGAGTAATAGCTCTTGGAGCTTCATATCTGTTTCTCACAACTCCATGGATCGCCCATCCTAGCCGTGGCATGGGCTTAGAACTACACAACTGTTTGTTTAAAAAAAATCCCTAAATCCTGAGCTCAAGTAAAGATCAGTCTTTGCAATTTATGTCTTGGGTGTTTTGGTGCATTATCCTTCATGAAGGTGACCTGGATTGGCTTTAGTTTCTGAATGCTGATTTTTATTCCCATGCAAGTCCCCAAATACCTGGTAACTTCTTTTGAAATACGGTGAATGAAGATGAGTTTATCCCTATATTTGGGGGATTGTTAATATTTTAAAATGAATTGTTTCCAGCCATGCATCTATTTGATTAAAATTTACTAATTTACAAGGCAATTCCTTGTTTCTAGAGATTCTGATTTTGGGATTTCTGAGCATCAGTGCTGTATTTTGGATACAGAACTGAGTTGCTAATCCACAGAGTTAGGCTCTAATCCAGCTATCACTGGCTAGTCAGATTCCCTTTCCTACCTTTTACATAAGATGTTTTGATGAAAGTTTGTATCTAGCTTTAAAATTCAATAATCATGTGATTCCAGGTTTTATAAATTACTACAAGAAAACATTGAGAAAACAGCCTTTTGGATCCATGAAAATTGAAGGTATAAATCTGGCAATCTCTACAACATTGCATTGTCTCTGTTTCCAGGCTAGCTCCTCAGAGGGGAAAACGCATGGTCACAGCTGCTATTTCTGCATATATTTGCCGTGACTCCTTCAGGGGGACTTGAGAGAAATGCTGCTGTGCTTGGAAAACAGCACCACCTAATAAAAGACAGTAGGTTCTTCTGCAACAGGAAATCATGTTAGCCCCAAGCTGCCCTCTCTATGACACAAGGAAAGCAAGAAATAATACACTGCAGCACATCCTGAAGTCTGGGAAGCAAAAGATATTGGGACTAGGTGAAATTCTCAGAGTTCTACTGGAAGGGAGTGTGTGTGTGTATGTGTGTGTGTGTGTGTGTGTGTGTGTGTGTGTGTGTGATGTTTACTATAATTACTTAACTGCTTAATTCATCAAAACAGATGACACCTGCTATTCCCAAGCTTCTTCTCTACAACAGCAGGAACTAGGAATGGAAAGAGAGGTCTTCAGATAAGGTTTTCAATGATGACATCTCATCACCCTAATAAGTGCTATGCTCAAGGGCTCAGAAGTGTTCGCTTGGTTACATTTGAACTTCTTCTGCGTTGTTGGTTCAATTTTAAATTTACTCAGTCCCCTTCACATTTTCCTCCTGGCCCCTAGACTCTGAGCTTTGTTTCCAAGTGATCTGTGAAGGGCCTGAGCAAGGGATGGGAGGATTCATGAGCCTGGTACCTTCTCCCAAGAGCTGGTTCCCTATCACCCTTCTGTGCCTCCATCTATTCTGAGCTTCACTATGAATTGTAGGAAGAATCAGAAGGAGCCACGAGCTGTCCCTCCTAAACTGCATAAACCAAGGAGGGGGACATGAATACCAGGGAAGAAAAGCACAGACCAGGAAGCACACATATGGGTGAGGGGTCCTCACTTTCTCTTAGAAGGATGAAGGAATAAGAGAGGGAAAAAGAACAAATGCTTTGTCATACCAGCAATTCAACCCTTCACTAGTGTTCATAGTTCTCATTTATATTCCAGCACTTGAGAAGGAAGACAGAGAGGAAGTAAGACAAGCAGCAATGGGTGCACTCTGTTAAATACTTAAGACCTTCTCTGCATATTCTTCTTGACATTTAACAAGGAAGAGAAATGGAAATAAAGCCATAAAACAGAAAGAAAGCTCCAGAGAGTTAATACTGGCCAGTAAGTCTGCAGGTGTGATGCATCTATATATGCACCATGATCTTTCCTATGCTGAAGTGAGGAGCTGAAGACTAGAGGTGAGGCCCTGCCTCCTCCCCTCTGGTCACAGACAGGCTCTCTGAAAATAATCAGATTTTGCATATTGAAGGTAGTGTGTGGTAATATCACCTGTTAATTTCCTTCCACTTTTCTGAAGTACAGGCAGCCAGAGATAAATTCTCATGCAATCTGCTTCAGCCTGCTGCACCTCCCAGGCCTCAGTTTCTCTATTGGTAAAATGAATTCTGGACAAATTGTTCTCAGAAGGTCTTTAGAGATCTAAAATTCTCTGGGTCTTCTTCATTCTTTCTTAGTTTATATCTATTGCCCTAAGGAAGACAAGTGTACATTTGCAACCAAGACAACATCACTGGGCGTGGAGAGTTTGGCTCTGCGGAGACAGGTAACAGACAACTCTAGCCACACTAGACGTGCCCTAGTTTTTTATGACATGATACAAAGATCAAAGAGACTACGGTTCTCACATCTTTGGATATGAGGCTTCTCTTTCAGAATTTAAAGAAAGATACAAGCATGTACTTAAGATTTTTAAAAAACCCACATAAGAAAAACACACAAAAGGCTCCATGTAATTTCAGCAACTCCCTCGTGTTAAAAACCCCTACTGTGAAGTTTCACTCTGGATTTGTTCCATAGACTGCTTACATTTCCCAAATACTCTTGGTAAAATTTGTTCAATATGTTTTAATTTTAGCTAAATAAGCAGCAAGTGGGACACCCTTACGAATCACCCAAAGAGTTCCATATGGATTAGAAT